AAAAAGGTATTTTCTTTGTTAGTATGGAAGCAAAGAGAGGGGAAAGAAAAAGAAAGATAACCCTGTTATTATGGATGAATAGTATGATGACAACAGATGATAGAGCTGCTTTAATTTATTCTTGGAAAAAAAGTTGAGGTTTTAAATAAACAGAAACATGAGAAAGAGAAAAGGAAGCTGATAAACTCATGCTTTGCTTCTCTTAAATCTGACAAGGAGAATGATCTTTAGTTTTGAAAGAAGAGGAGAAGAATTGATAAAAGAAACTTGAAGCTCAAGTTTTATAAAAGACTTTAAGAGTTAATTTGGACATCTGAGCCTGTGGGCTCTGATAGATGAGTTTAAGCCTGCTGTGCCCTATCAGCAGCAGCTTTGGGGAGCTGCTACAGCGGGAGGGTGCCGATGCCTGCAGACTAGCAACTGCAAAGCTGACTTTCTTTTTTAAGAGTAAGGGTTACAATTTCTGCAGTCTATGCATTGATCTTGGAGAAAACTCTAGAATGATTAAGTGACTAACCATAGTACTTCAAACCATATCATGTAAGGTAGAGTTGAAGAGACTGGGGATGTTTCTCTGGAGGAAAAGCAGTCCCAGGGGAGTCAACTGTATTCAAATAATTATCTGTCAAATGGAAGAGAGCGAGATTGTGCCTGTATAGTTCCTGAAGTTTGAAATGAGACTGGCGGATGAAAATTGTTAGGCTCAATAATAAACGAACAAACAAACAAAAATTCTAACAACTGGAAGAGTTTCAGAGAGAAAGTGGCTGCCTTTGTATGTATCCAAGTTCTCTGATCCTGATCATGTTTAAGCCAAGTGTTGACTACTTGGTGGAGATACTGTAGAGGAAATTCAAAGATTAACTGGATGGTGAGATGGAATGCACTGTACTCCTTGAACTTTCTTTATTCTTCATCACTTCTCACCCAAGAAGTTGCAATAGCTCCTTTCAAGCCCAAATCCTCTACCTAATTTATAAGAACTTCCTTTTATCTGGCTACCTCCTACTCATTCAACCATATCTCTCTGCTTTTCCCAAGGAAGGCCTTCTTGCTTTCTTCCTTAAATCTAGTCTCAAAAATTACAGAGCAACTCACAGAGAAAAATATCTTTACATGAATGATTACCATGAATTTTGCAATTTTCTAGGAAATCTAGGAAAACAATATTCCTAATACTTATAATGATAAAAGGCAATTATTTATGAGACAGAGTGTATTTTATTTTTCCCAAGCAGTAGCAATAGAAAACAGTACAACTCTAAGAAGTACAAATTGATAAATGTTGCTCAAAATAGTAATATAAAGCATTAAAGTTCTTTTTAGCTTGTGCTTGTAACCACCAGTCATGTCAAACTAAGGATAGGTTTTATTAAAAATACTAATCACAAAGAGTAGAGATTTATGAAGGGAGAAATCTTAA